CACTGCCACACTGCCCACATTGGCACCGTGACCGCTGTGGCACTGCCACCACCCCAGCACTGTGCCCGTGCTGTCAGGGTGACCACATTGGCACCAGGACCAGGCTGGCACCATCACCAGGCTCGCGCCAGCCCGGCGCAGCCGCTCCCCGCTGCCACCTTGGGGGATTTTGCGAGCCTTTAATTGTCGTAAGCACAGATTAATTAAGCAGCGATAAACACAAACCCATGCATTATTGATGAATAAGGGTGAGTTCAGGTTGGTGTAATTAAATATAAACCTCAAGCTGCCCATTGTTAACGGACAAATTACATTACTATTGCGACACGTGTCGGGGCGCCGCGGCCAGCGAGGGGCTCACGGCCTTGCACCTCCACCCACAGCCCCCCGAGAGGGGACGTGGGGCACGAATGGGGACCCCACAATGCCACGGCCAGGCCCTTTTCCGTCCTGGATCCGTGCGCAGCGAGGACGGCGCTCCGCAGGGACGTGTCACGGATCTGTGGGGACAGCAGAGATGGGGTGTCCCCACACGGCCCCGCTGCATGGTGGGGGGACTGTGGGTGGCACAGCCCTGGCACACACATGGATGCACACGCATGAACACGCCTGGCACACACGTGTAGATGTGCACAGCCCTGGCACGCACACACACATCCACATCCCCCCAGACTCCTCCTTCCTCATTCCCTCCTCCCCTCCACAAACGCCACCCTCGCAAACCCCCCCTCACCGTGTCCCCCTAGCCCCGACCCCCCCTGCACGACCAGAGCCCCCCCGTGGGCACCACACTGTCCCCTGCGTCCCTCTGGGATCCCCCCGTGCCAGGCACCGCGGCCGTGTCCCCTCCCCGCAGTCACACGTTAAATCCCCGGGGACACCCCCACACCCCCACGGGGACAAGTGACAATGACCCCGGGGGGGCTGCGGGAGAGTGGCGAGCCCGGCTGTGCCCCCCTGGCCCCCCTTGCCCGGCGCGGGGTGGGGGTGCCAGCTGGAAGCTATTTATTAACCAGTCATGGTTAAATTGGTTTATAAATTAACAGATGTTTTAACTTTATTCTTTCTTCTGGGAATGGAGGCAGCAAACTGGTCTGTGCTGGCGGCCCGGACCCCCCCGGGGGGGTCAGCGATGGGCTAGGGGGGAGCAGGGCTGGGAGCCCCCCCTCCAGCCCACCCTGGCAGGGCTCCGTGGGGGCACCAGGATGAGTTTTAGGATCCCTTGGGGTCTCACTTCCGCAGGGAAAGGAGGTGGGTGGTGTTCAGGCTGTAGAGGATACGTGCTACAGGTGGGTAAACTGAGGCACGTGATGTCCCCCAGGCTGAGGAGACCCCCGGGCTGCCTCTCTGCGTCTCACTACTGCACCCCTTATCTGGAACCCCCCAGATTTGCCCCTTTATCCATCCTGGGTTCCCCCACAAAGTTCGCCCCTCAATTTCAGCCCCTCCTGTGCCGGGCACACCTGGCACCGTGCATGAACCCCCCCAAACCAGCACAGCCCTGGCTTGGGTGGGTGCCCACCCCGGGGGTGTTGCCCCCGGACACCCCAGTGCCCCCAGCCCCCGATCCCACCCCGTGCTGTGGCTGTGAGGCTTGGCACGGCCCGGTGCCCAGTGCCCGGTGCCCGGTGGCTGCCAACCAGGACGGCTCCAGCCACGGCTCCGCTCCGGCCACCCTGTGCCAAAGCCCTTGAGCTGCTGCCCGGCCCACGCGGCCGTGCCAGCCCCGGGTGGCCGTGCCAGCCTGGCCATGCCAGCCTCGGCAGTGACATCTGCCACCGCGTGCCGCGGCGCCGGCGGGCACACGGGGCCAGGGAGGGCACCGATGGCACCAGGACCGGGCACAGCCCGGGGGGATGCAGCCCCCTGCCCGCCCCGTTGTGGGTTCAGGGGTGCGACTTCTCCTCGTTGAGCTGGGGACAGGGCCACCCCTGTCCTGCCAGGTGTGGGGACACAACGTCCCATCCTGCCGGGAATCCAGGACACGGCCCCTCCTCGTGCCAGCGCTGGAGCCCCCGCACTTTTTGGGGATAGGGGGTGGCAGACCACCCCACATCACGCTAAAGACGTGGGATTGGAGCCCCCCGATGGCGATGGGTTATAGGGGTGCAGCCCCCGCGTCCTGCCTCGGTTTCCCCATCGCACCCCCCCAGTGTCCCTGAGTAGGGCAGGGGGTGCCCCTTCCCCAGCCCCCCATTTAGAGAAGGTCTCTCCCAAGCCCCTTTCCCCTCTGCAGGCCCCCAGGGTGGTCGCTTGGGGGGGTTCTCAGCAGTGAAGGTGTTAAGCCCCCTGCGCCCCCCCCTCCCACCGCCCCCTCGGGCTCCCACGCGTGCTCCGCTCCCACGCGTGTTCCCACTCCCGGCACCCAGGGGAGCACCGGCCCCCACCCGCCGCCCCCGCTGCAGCTCCTGGGGGGCGGCTGCACCCACAGGGGGGTCTTGGGGTGCTGGGGGGGCTCGGGGGGCTCAGCCCAGTGCGAGGTGCGAGGGGACACCCGGGAGCGTGGGGAGGGACACCCCCGCAGGGCCAAGCGGGGGACACAGAAGGGGATAGCGGGGTGAAGGGCACTGAGGGGGGGTCCCGGCACACCCGAGCCGACCCCCGCCCGTCCTGTGGCCACGCCCCCTCAGTGCACAGGCCCCGCCCCCCCGGCACTCACCCTTGGACCGTGCGATCGTCCCCACGCTGCGCTGTCCCCGCAAGGCCCCGTCCCTACGATGTCGTGTCCCACTAAGGTCCTGTCCCCGTGGCACCCTGTCCCTGATGTACCCCGCAACACTGTCCCCACCACGCGCCATCCTCGGGACACCTCGTCCTCACGGGACACTGTCCCCACCACGCCCCATCCCCAGCACACCCTGTCCCCACGATGTCCCATCCCTGGGGCTCTCCGTCCCCATGGGACCCTGCTGGGCACGATGCCCCACCCCCAGCACACCCTGCCCCCGTGGCACCCTGTCCCCACGATGCTCCATCCCTGCTGTGCCCCCCCGGCACGACGCTGTGTCCCCATCTTGTCCCCACGACTCTCCATCCCCCCCACACCCTCTGCCCCGCTGCCACCTCGCCGCGTCCGTCCCCACGGCTCCGCGGTGGGCTCAGGCTCCTCGCCGGGGGGCGAGCTCTTCTTCCCTCAACCTGCTGCTATTTTTACACTCTCCCTGCGGGAGGATTCGCTGCTGCGCGGAGCTGCAGCCCCCGCGGCACCGCGGCACGGGCACGGGGACGGGCACGGCACGGGGTGCCCACGGTGCTGTCCCGGCGACGAGAGCGGGGCCATGTGTGCCACACGTGTGCCTGGAAGGTGTCCCCGTGTTCCGGGCCCCCCCTCCCCACCCCGTGCCACGCTGCAGGTGCCACCCGCGGGTGACGGTGCGTGGGCGCGGGCGCGGGCGGCGCGTGCCGATCCCGGGGGGCTGCGGGTGCCGGCGCTGCCGCAGCGCAGGGAGGGGAGGGGGCCCGGCCACCCCCTCACACGGCGTCTTCGTGGGTGGGAGAAGCGGGAACAGCAGCGGGATGGAGCCCGGGAACCTGTTGCCATAACGACTCCGGTCCCGGGATGGGGACGGTGATCGGAGCCTGGCATGGGGACACCCGGCACAGGGCCAGCCAGGGGACAGGGTGACAGAGGGACCCTCACCTTGTCCCCAGATTTTGTCTCCATGAGGATACTAGGCTCTGCTGGCACCTAATTTGTCCCCACCTGGCTGGTCACTGCGCCGTGCCACAGCCACAAGTTTGTCACCCGCAGCCAGATTTTGTCACCCAGAGCCAGGCTTTGTCACACAGAGCCAAGATTTGTCGCGCACATCCAAGATTTATCTCCCAGAGCTGGACTTTGTCACCTAGAGCTGGCCTTTGCCACCCAGAGCCAAGATCTGCCACCCAGAGCCACAATTTGTCACCCAGAGCCGGGCTGTGCCGTGTTTTGCCGAGCTTTGCCGCGTGGTGCCGGGCGGGCGGGAGGCTGCTCCATGGCTCGGTGCCACTCGGGTAAATATTTTGCTGGAGCGGTGGCTGCTGGCCCAGGGCCACCCGCAGCCGTTGGAGCACCGGGAGATCCGGGGGACGGAGCCAGTTCCCAGCTCCCCCTTCCTCGTTCCTGCCCAGAGGCGGCTTCCATGACACCGCCCCGGGACATCCCAGGAGGGGACGAGCCACCGCCGCGGCTGCTGCCCACCCCACTGTCCCCCCCCCGCATGGGGACCCCCTGGTTGTGGCCGGGAGAGCTGTCCCCGATGTCCCCCGCTCCCTGCCGGGAATGTGCAGCTCTGGTGCCGAGCGTCGCCCTGGGGGATGAAACCCCCTCCTTCCCCTTTGTGTCCCCTTGGGATTTTCTAGGGGGAAAATCTCCAAGAACTGGGAAGAGCCAGGGCAGGTGGGCACAGCCGTGGGTGAGGACACAGCCTCCGCACCCCCGACACCCCGGGGGCTGCAGCTGGGGGTGGGGGGACCCCCGGCACACAGGTGATGGGATGTTTTGGGAGTCCCATGTCCCCACGGATGTCCCCTGTGCGTATCTCCGGAGTGGTGGCCCTGTCCCGTGTGGCACAGAGTAGCCGGAGGGGGCGGTGGGGGGGTGGGGGGTGAATTTTGCCGCTGCCCACACGGGGGTGGGAGCGGCTGTCCCTCTGTCCCCTGTTCCCCACCTGTGGGGACACTCAGGCATAAGGGACAGGGACACACACGGAGCCAGCCGTCCCTGTCCCAGCGCAACCGGCCACTGCAGGCGGGACGCCCCGTGGCAGGGAAGGGGTTAAGGACCCCCCACAGGTTGGCTGAACCCCCTGGGGGGCTCCCCAAGGACTCATTACCGCGGCCTCAGCCCCCCTGCCCGGGGAGGGGGGGATGAATAATTCAGCTCCTGGTAGGAAGACGTGTCCTCCCTCCCTCTCCTTCCTCCTCCTCCTCCTCCTCCTCACCGGCTCTGCCTTCCCCACCTCCCGCCACTCTCATTCCTCGCCGTACCGAGCCCCGGGTGCCACGGAACTCCGCTCGGTACCGGTGCCAGAGACCCCCCCCCACCCCGGGCTCCGGTGACTCCCGGCCAAGGCCATGGACCCCAAGGAGCGCAAGAAGATCCAGTTCTCCGTGCCCGCCCCCCCCAGCAACCTGGACCCCCGCGCCGTGGAGATGGTGAGAGGGGAGCGGAGAGGGGAGAGGGGAGAGGGGAGAGGAGAGAGGGGAGAGGGGAGCGGGGCCAGCCCGGGGGTCCCTCCTCTCTGCCCGGGCAGAGCGCTGCCGGTGACCTCGGGACAAGAAGGGACCCCCGGAATGAGCGCGTGGGATGGGAGGGGGACACGGGAGGGGGACACGGGAGAGCCCCGGGGTGCTGGAGGGAGGCGGGGAAGGAAGGGGACAGAGTGGGACAGGAGGGAGGGGATGGGACAAGGGGGATTGAAGGGGACGGGAGGGACGGGAGTGGACCGGGAGAGCAGGACAAGGGGGATCGGAGGGGACAGAGGGGACAAGGCAAAGGATGGGACAAGGGGGATCGGAGGGGACAGGAGGGACGGGAGGGGACCGGGACAGCAGGACAAGGGGGATCGGAGGGGGCAGAGGGGACAAGGCAGGGGATGGAAGGGACAGAGGGGACGGCGGGGTGATGCGTTGGGACAGATGGGATGGGACAAGGGGGAGGCGGGAGGGGACAGAGGGAGGGAGGGGATGGATCCAGGGGAGATCGGAAGGGACAGAGGGGACAAGAGGGAGATGGGATCGGCAGAGCAGGACAGGGGGGATCGGAGAGGGCAGCGCACGGGAGGGACAGACCGGACGGGACTGCGGGGCGGGGGACACAGAAAGGGACGGGGACAGACGAGAGAGCTCCAAGGTCCCTGTGGGAGCTGCGGTCCCGCACACGGAGAGTTGTGCCAGGGGGACAGGGACAGGGACAGGGGTGGCACAGGACAGCAGGGAAGGGATGAGACAGAGGGCACAGGATGAGGACAGGGATGGGATGAAGGGGACAGGACACGCTGGGACTCGGTGCAGCCACCCCCGCCGGTTGTCCCTAATCCGAGGGGACATCCCCAGCACACGCCGGACCCAGAGTCCCTCCGGAGGAGCTGGCCTGGGGCTCTCATGGGGCTGGGATGCACTGGGGACACCCCGGGGACCCCGTGCCGGGGGGGTTGGTGGCCCTGCACCCACACGCTCACACACGTGCAGACACGTGTCCCTGGGGCGCAGGGCAGGGGACAGGGGACCCGGGGCGTCCCCAGCCGGTGACACCCCGCTGTGCCCCAGATCCGCCGGCGGAGGCCCACGCCGGCCATGCTCTTCCAGCTCTCCGAACACTCCTCCCCAGGTGAGCCGGGCCGGGAGGGGACACCGGGCAGGGGATGGCCGGCCCAGGGACGGGAGGCGGTGGCAGGGATGGGACTTTGTGTCTGTCATGGTGGCAGGGATGGGACACGGTGGCAGGGATGGGACATTGTGTCTGTCATGGTGACAGGGATGGGACACGGTGGCAAGGATGGGACATTGTGTCTGTCACGGTGGCAGGGAGGGGACATTGTGTCTGTCAATGTGTCTGGGATGGGACACGGTGGCAGGGAGGGGACGCGGTGGGGATTGGGATGTGTCACCTGTGGAATGGGATGTCTGGAGACGGTGGCAGAGAGGGGACGGGGTGTCACATAGAGAAAGGGGTGGCGGGTCCCTGGCGGGCAGGGTAACCCCTGCAGGGGGTCCGAGGGTGGGCACGGCCCTGCCCGGCCCCGCCGGGTGCCCGTGTCCCGCTCACCCTTCTCTCCCCGGCGCCGCTGACAAAGAGGACGAGAACCTGCCCTACCAGGTGAGTGGGCGCGGGGACCCCCGACACAGTCCCGCTCCCCGTCCCCGTGTCCCCGGGGGGGTTATCGGGGCCCGGAGCTTATCGGCTCCTTCCCGGCACGGGCACACGGCGCCAGCGCCGGGACGGGGACGCGGGATGGGGACATGGAGCCGAGCCAGGCTCTGGAGTTTGTGCAACCAGCGCGTGACCGCCGCGGGGTCACCCCCACGGTGTCCCCAGTGCCGTGTCCCCAGTGTCACATCCCCACGGAGTCCCAAACACGAGGTCTCCATAACGGGGTCACCATCAGGGGCAGCCCAAAACCATGTCCCCAAGGCAATGTCCCCATCGTGGGGACCCTAATGCCACATCCTCATGGCAGTGTCCCCATAATTGTGGGGACCCCAACGCCGCGTCCTCATGGCAGTGTCCCCATAATTGTGGGGTCTCCAACACCGTGTCCTCATGGCAGTGTCCCCATAATTGTGGGGTCTCCAGCGCTGCGTCCTCATGGCAGTGCCCCCATAATGGGGGTCCCCAGCATAGGATCCCCCTGGCAGGGTCCCCACAGAGGGGTCCTCAGGGTGGTGTCCCCAATACCCCATCCCCAATGCAGGGTCCCCATGGTGTCCCCAGCACCATGTCCCCAGTGCCACATCCCCTTAGCAGGGTCCTCATTTCTGGGGAGGGGTGGGTGTCAGCCCCATAGTGAGACCCCCCATCGCAGCCCCCCACCTCTCCGGGGGGTTCCCGGCTCTTCCGGGGCCGCGGTGACCCCCGTGGGGACACCAGGCTCCCCCATCCCGACGCCGCTCCCCCCGCAGCGCTCGTCGGGCGAGGGCTGCCTGCTCAAACCAAAGAGGACCAACCCGTGTGCCTACACCCCGCCCTCGCTCAAAGGTACCGCCCGCGGGGCCGGGGGGCAGCGCGGCGGCTGGGGGGACACCCCGGTGACACCGGTGACACCGTTGTCTCCCCAGCGGTGCAGCGCATCGTGCAGTCCCACCTGGAGAGCGGCATGGGCGGGGGTGACAGCTCCGACGGGGAGCCCGACGACGGCTGCGACCCCGACAGTGCCCTCGAGGCTGGTGAGGGGACAGGGGGACATCCCCAAGGGATGCGGGGACGTGGATGCCACAGCCTGGGGGACACAGGGACACAGGGAGGGGGATTCTGGAGCCCGAGGGATGTGGTGGTGGGGCTGCTGGAATCTGCGGGTGGGGGACGTGGCGCTGCCACAGCCCAGGGGACAAGGAGAAGTGGGGACACAGGGTGACAGACACAGCATCGGCGATGTGGGAACACGGGGACCAGAGCCCAGGGTACACGGGGACAGGATTGCCGGAGCCTGGGGGACACGGGGGGAGCCTGGGGGACACGGGGGGAGCCTGGGGGACACGAGGAGATGGGGACGGGGCTGCTGGAGCGGGGACGGCGGCCGCCATCCCTTGAACCCCTGGGGGACACACGGACTGGCTGCTGCCGGTGCTGTCCTCGCTGCCACCGCGTTCCCCCGCCGGGCCGTGTCCCCGTCCCCCGCGGGGCCGGGTGACGCCAGCCGGACCCCCGGCCGCTGCGTGACGCGGCCCCGCCCGGCCCCGGCGGTGTCCCGGCGGTGTCCCGGCGGTGTCCCGGCGTGGGACAGTGAGGGGGAGGATGGCAGAGGGATGGCAGGAGGACAGACACAGTGGAGGACAGGGGTGGCAGGAGGAAGGGGACAGCGAGGGGATGGCGTGGTGAAGGGATGGGGAATGGCAGAGGGATGGCGGGAAGACAGGGGTGGCAGGAGGATGGAGGTGGAAGGGGATGGGGGGACAGTGGGGGGGACAGGGATGGCAGAGGGATGGCAGGAGGACAGACACAGTGGAGGACAGGGGTGGCAGGAGGAAGGGGACAGCGAGGGGATGGCGTGGTGAAGGGATGGGGATGGTGAGGGACAAGGATAGGGGGGTGGCAGGAGTATGGGGACAGCAGGACAGGGGCGACAGGAGGACAGGGATGGCGGGGACAGAGGGACAGCGAGGGGACGTGGCCGCTCACCCACCCGGGGATGGCAGGAGGGCACTTGGGGCCGCGTCCCCCCCGTGCCTCAGCTGTGCCACCTCACGCTGTGTGTCCCGGGGGACACCGTGCTGTCCCCACAGGCGGGCAGAAGGTGTCCTTCGCCGGTGGCATCGACGAGCGCGAGGAGGACCTGAAGTCGCTGACGGTGTCAGAGATCCCCGAGGACCCCGAGGGAGTGGAGGGTGACGAGGAGGAGCCGGGGCAGGAGCAGGACGGTGGCACCGGGGGTACGTGGGCTGTCACCCCCCCACCATCCCCGCTGTTCCCGGTGCCACCGCGGCCGCTGCTGACGGGGACAGCCGGGTGCTGACGCCCCGTTTGCATCCCCAGAGCGGCGACACGTCGGCTTCGCCGAGGTGCCCTCGCGCCCCATCGGCACCGAGCGCCACTCGCCCACCTTCCCGCTGGGCACCAGTTAGCTGGCACCGGGCACCGGGCACCGGCCCCCATTGCACCCCCCGGCCCCCGCAGCTTCGCCTGTGCCCCCCGGCTGCCCCCCGCCCGCTGCCTGCGCTTCGCCTGCCGTGCGCCGTGTGCTGCGCCATACTGGTCCGTGCTGGGCCGTGCTGGGCTGTGCTGGTCCATGGTGGTCCATGCTGGGCCGTGCTGGGCCGTGCTGGGCCAAGGTGGTCCATGCTGGTCCATGCTGGTCCATGCTGGTCCATGCTGGTCCATGGTGGGCTGTGCTGGTCCATGGTGGTCCATGGTGGTCCATGCTGGTCCATGCTGGTCCATGCTGGGCCGTGCTGCGCCATGCTGGGCCCTGCGCCATGCTGGGCCGCGCCAGGCCGCCTCGGGACCCCCGGCCACGGCCGCCCCCTCCCCGCGGGCCTCGTGCCCCCCCGGCTGCTGGCGCAGGAGCCGGGGATGGGACCCCCGGGTGCTGGTGGGGTCCGGGCCCCCCCTGGCTGCTGCCCCCCGGCCCCAAGCGAGCAGAGCCCCCCGCCCACAATAAACGGCTGTACAGAGGCTGGAGAGTGTTTTGGGGGGCTGGGGGCTCTGGTTTCCTTTTGGGTGGGGGGGGGAGTCTGGTCTTTGTTGGGGGGTGACAGACTGGGGGTGTGGGGTGCCCCATGAACACCTCCCTCTCCCATAGGGAATGGGCTGTCCCTCGCCCCACTGACTCCCCCCATGTGGGGAATGGGCTCTCCCAGCCCCACGGATACCCCCCCCACCACGCAATGGTCTCTCCCACCCTCCACGGTCACCCCTCCACTGGAGAATGGTCTCTCCCAGACCCACTGGCACACCCCCATGGAGGGGAATGGTCTCTCCCACCCCATAGACACCCCCACTTCCACACAGGGATGGTTTTGTCCTCACCCCACGGATTCCCCCCTTTTGGAATGGTCTCTCCCAGCCCTACTGGGAAGGTCCTTCCCGGCTTTATTGATCTCCCGCGTGAGAAATGGTCTCTCCTAGTCACAAGTCCCCCTGCCGTGGGTAACGCTCGTTCCCAGCCCCACTGACCCCCCTCCCCGCTATGAATGGTCTCTCCCAGCCCCACTGTCCCCCCCTCCCGCAGTGAATGGTCTGTCCCGCTCCCCCCGCGGCCGGCGATGGTCGCTGCCGGCGCAGCCTCGCTCTGGGGTTTCCCTTCCGGGGTCAGAGGTGGCGGCGGGCCCGGAAGCGGCGGCGGGCGGCACCGGCACCGGGAGGTACCGGGGAGGGGGACACGGGGACACTCCGGGGGGCTCAGCTCCATTCCGGGCCCTGGCGGGGCCGGGCTGCGCGCGGGCTCCGGTGGCGCGGCCTCGGTGCCGCTCCCGGGGGCGCAGCCGCCGGTGGGAGCGGGACGGGACGGGGCAGGACGGGACGGGGCTGTCACTGCGAGTCCTGGCCTCAGGCCCTGTTACCGGCACCGGGCCCCACGGCTTCGGGAGGCCTCGGGCAGCCCGTTCGGGTCCCGGTCCCGGTCCCGTTATCCGCCCTAGCCCCGCTTCACCGGGATCCCGGCAGCGAGAGCGGCGAGAATCGCCCCGGGCACCTTCCACCGCTGTCAGCTCCCCGAGGCTGCGGGGAACGGGAGTAGCGGGCCCGGGGCGCTCCTTGGAGGGCAGAGCTGCCCGGCAGAGCCGTTCCCTCATCCCGGGGTACCGGGGGGCTCCGGGCGGGGATCCCGGGCAGGTGGAAAAGCCCCGGGGGAAGGGGAGCGCCGGGAGCACCCGGGGCCGTTTGGCTGCGGGGAGGGGCAGCGTGGGGCCTCTGCCTGACTGTGCCCCGAGGGTTCCGAATCCCGACCCGAATCCAGCCCAAATCCTGCCCCAAACCCAGCCCCAAGTCCTGCCCCGCGTCCCGAGCCAAACCCAGCCCCACATCCCGACCAAAACCCAGCCCAAATCCTGCCCCAAATCTTGCCCCACATCCCGACCCAAATCCCGACCCAAATCTTGCCCCACATCCCCAGCCAAATCCCGACCCAAATCCAGCTGCACATCCAGCCCCATATCCCAACCCATGCCCGGCAGAGCCGTTCCCTCATCCCGGGGTACCGGGGGGCTCCGGGCGGGGATCCCGGGCAGGTGGAAAAGCCCCGGGGGAAGGGGAGCGCCGGGAGCACCCGGGGCCGTTTGGCTGCGGGGAGGGGCAGCGTGGGGCCTCTGCCTGACTGTGCCCCGAGGGTTCCGAATCCCGACCCGAATCCAGCCCAAATCCTGCCCCAAACCCAGCCCCAAGTCCTGCCCCGCGTCCCGAGCCAAACCCAGCCCCACATCCCGACCAAAACCCAGCCCAAATCCTGCCCCAAATCTTGCCCCACATCCCCAGCCAAATCCAGCTGCACATCCAGCCCCATATCCCGACCCAAACCCAGCCCCAAATCCTGACCAATGTCCAGCCCCACATCCCGAGCCAAATTCAGCCCATCCCAACCCAAATCTTGCCCCACATTCCTGACTGAAATCCCGACCCAAATCCAGCCCCAAATCCTGCTCAAATCCAGCTGCACATCCAGCCCCACATCCCAACACAAACCCAGCCCCACATCCCAACCAAAATCCAGCCCAAATCCTGCCCCGCATCCCAAGCCAAATCCTGCCCCAAATCCCGACTCAAATCCTGCCCCAAATCCTGCCCAAATCCTGCCCCACATCCCAACCCAAATCCTGCCCCAAACCCAGCCCAAATCCCGACTGAAATCCTGCCCTAAATCCTGCCCTGCATCCCATCCCACATCCAGCCCATCCCAACCCAAATCCCGATGGGAACGTGATGTTGATGGACTCGGTGTCCTCCTGGGGTCTCAGTGTCCTCCTGGGGGTCTCAGTGTCCTCCCGGGGGGTCTCAGTGTCCTCCAGGGCCCCCATGTCCCCACTTTTCACTGAACCAAACCTTCCCCAGTGCTTTTCCCCGTTGGATCCTTCCCAGTTTTTTTTATTTTTGGCTGGATTTGGGTGTCTGGGTTAATGTTGATCTTTTTTTTGGTGTTTTGAAGGGCAGCTCAGACACCCCTCAGTGCCCAGGGCAGCAGGGGGGTCTCCATCCCTCTGCTGCTCCAGGTGTTCTCTCACCTGGCTGTATATTTTCCCCACCCTGTGTTCCCAGGGTGTTCCCCACCCTGGGCTGCACCTCCCAGGACAGGGGACAGCAGAGGGGACAGCAGGAATTGTCACATGAGCCTGAGGGAAGCGTGGCAGGAGGAAGGAGAAGTGGAGTCACGGGGTGGGAAAAGCTCCTGAGTGAGAGATGGGTCATTAACGAGACACAGGGCTAACGAGGGGCTCAGGGAGGGGGTGACACAGGGGATTTGGGGTGGCAGGCTTGGGACATGCCTTGGCACTGCCCTGGGGGGTGTTTTGGTGGCCAGTGTGCTGCTGGAGGTGGGCTGAGGGGGTTTTGGGGTGCTGGCACTGGGTTAATGGTGGTGGCACTGGGTTAATGGTGGTGGCACTGGGACAATGGTGGTGGCACTGGGATTATAGTGTTTTAAGGTGCTGGCACTGGGTTAATGGTGGTGGCACTGGGACAATGGTGGCAGTGGGATTATAGTGTTTTAGGGTGCTGGCACTGGGCTGTGGTGGCACTGGGCTGATGGGTTTTTGGGTGGTGGCACTGCACTGATGGTGTTTTGGGGTGCTTGCACTGGGCTGACAGGGTTTTGGGGTGCTGGCACTGGGCTGTGGTGGCACTGGGATGATGGTGGCACTGCACTGATGGGGTTTTGGGGTGGTGGCACTGGGCTGATGGGGTTTTGGGCTGATGGGGTTTTGCTGGCTCTTGGTGCTGAATGCTGGATCAGGATTTCACCGTGTCTGTGTTTGCTCCTGCTGGGATCTGTGGGATGTGGTGTCACCCCCGTTCCTGCAGCTCTGTCACCTCCTAATCTCCAAACTGGGAGGTTTCCCTGGCAAAAATCCTTCCCCAAAAATCTCAAAATCCCCTTTGTTCAGGTCAGAGAAGCCCCAAAGGGTTCCTGGAGTGTCCCTTGGGCTGAGATCTGTCACCTGGGGTCTCCCCTGGGTGTGATCTGTCACCCAGAATGTCCCCTGGGCTGTGATCTGTCACTCAGGGTGTCCCCCTGGGATGTGATCTGTCACTTGGGGTGTCCCTCAGGCTGTGATCTGTCACTCAGGGTGTCCCCCTGGGATGTGATGTGTCACTCAGGGTGTCCCCCAGGCTGTGATCTGTCACTTGGGATGTCCCCCAGGCTGTGATCTGTCACTTGGGATGTCCCCCAGGCTGTGATCTGCCTCACACAATGTCCCCTGGGCTGTGATCTGTCACCCAGAGTGGCCCCCCAGCAGTGTTTGCCCCTCACTGGGATGGAATCCTGGAATCCTTTAGGCTGGAAAAGCCCTCCAAGATCCCTAACCCTGCCATGGCTTAAGGGCTGTCACACACAGCCCTGCCACCCCTAACCCGTGTCCCCAAGTGCCACAACCACACAATTTTTTACAACTCCACCAACACCTGGAGAGCCCCTCCCAAACCCTGATTGTCCTTTCATGAATAAATCCCCCTGATGTCCACCCTGAGCCCATCCTGGCACAGCTTGGGGCTTTCCCCTCTCAGCCCATCCCTCATTCCCTGGGAGCAGAGCCCGACCCCCTGCTGACCCCTCCCTGCCGGGGCTGCCGGAGCGGGATGCGGAGGATGCTGGAATGCATAATGGAGCAGAGCTCAATAATTCATCTGTCACCCAGGAACAGCCACGTTCCTCCACACCCAGCCCCTGCTCCGAGCTCTCAGCTGCCACAGGGAGCAGCTCCAGTGCAGGGGGGGGCTTGTGTGGGATTCAAACATTCCTGCTCTGCCCCACAATTTGTATTTTTCCCTCGGGAATTGGATGGTTTGGGAGGGGTGTGTGTGTTCCAAACAGCCCAAACCTCCTCGGCAAGGCTGGGATGCTCTGGTGCTGTGTCCCCGTGTCCTGCCACGTCCCAACACCCCATTGTGACCCCTCTTGGCATCCCTGGAGTTTCTGCGGGTGATTTTAAAGCGCTGTGAAAGTCGGGGCGGGGCTGCCTAAGTGCAAAGTGCTGTCGGAGGGGAGGAGGAGGCGGCGGCAGCCCCGGCCAGGGGGGATTTATTATTTATCCC